AATAGGGTAGATGCCTAATTTTTATTTTAATGTCCGTCTGGTAGATTATTTTAAATCATTAGACACGTATTTTTTATTTTCTTACAGAAACGAATACTTTCGACGATATATTGATTTGAAATGTCGCGTGACGTCACTTCTATGTACATTTTATACGTAGAAATGACGTTTTAGCCCCCACTCCTAAACTTTGATTCGTTTTATCTAAGTATTGTTTTATTATACGACAAAATAAAAAAATACGTGTCTAATATTTTTTTATTACCTAAGTTACGGACTAATTATATTTTTAATTTTCATACCCTGTCATCATCCCTATTATCAGGTGCAAGAGTATCCTTAACCTGAACTCGCAATTTTAGGATGTATTGCTCTTTGAACTACCCGTACGATTCGAATAACCGTGAATATCAATGCTTATAACTTTTCCGTGTGAGAAGAAGCGTTCGGCGCTCTGATTGGCCGGCGCCAATGAACCAACCAATCACAACGCCGAACGCGTACTCGTACGATTACCATAAACGTAAAAGATACTCGTAAGGTACTAAGGCCTCTGAATGATTCGTTTATTGTTTGTTTTCTATTTTATTTTTTGTATTTTTTTTAAACCTTGCCCCGCATTAGGATTTTCTCCTGTGTCGTGGGTGCGTTTTACAAACATACAAGTTCACATACACATGAAACCCAGACCCGAAACAACAATTTATGGATCACACAAAGTGATGTTCCGTGTGGGAATCGAACCCGCGACACGTTGCACGGCAGCCGGTTGCCCAGCCACCGCACCAACCGTTCGTTCAGACGTCAGAGTCATTTTGTTCTATTTCTTAACTAGATTTTTTTCTGGTACACACTTTTTTGGTGCGCGCTCAGTCATCCAGGGACAAATAAATTATAAGATTCACTTACCTAAAAATTTTCTCCATAAACTGTTTACCCAGGAAACCAGATGCTCCCGTTATTAATACAGTGGTGTCTTTATAAAACTGCTGGACAGGAGAATCTCCTCGATCTATGACGGCATTCATCGGCTTCTGTTTCTCCATAAGCGCTAACTCATACTTCTCGGCGATGTCCAGAGTGTCCATTGCTGGAAAAATGCAGGATATATAATAACATAACATAATATAACAAGTCGCCTTTTATCCCCGAAGGGGTAGGCAGAGGTGCACTTAATGCCACTGTACAATATAACACCCACTTTTCACTATTTATGTTATGAGTCCCATGTAATAGGGGATAAGCCTATTGCCTCCTCCATTCAAATCTACATTTTGGAATGAGCATCTAGCTTCACCTAGCTTCAAAAATCATCGAATGACTGCTCCCGCCTGGGTGAGGCGGGAGGGAGTGTCAGACTGTTACTGACTAAAAACCACCCCGTTCCTTCTCCTGCACGTCGAGTCGGAGCCGCGGTTACCCGTTAGGTTCCCCGCGCCCCTTCTTGCTTATCATCGCTCGAGTAACACGTAATTTGTAGTTAATTTGAAATTCTTTTACACAATTTTGTGTACTCCCAGAATTAGCAATTAATTGATTAATATTTAATAATGCAAAACAGTCTTGTATTTAAAAGATTGTTAACGAATGACTTGCGAAAGCAGTATATAAAGAGTCTATGTATGTACATATATAAATAAAAATGAGTTTCTATTTGTCAGTATCACTAAAACTCGAGACCTGCCGAACCGATTTGGGTAATTTTGGAATAGAATAGAATAGAATAGAATAGAATAGAATCTTTATTTGCATAAAATGTAGGTACATAATGGTGATAATAATAACATAGTCAAGGTGCCATATACATCTTGCCGCTTGGCGACATGCAAATCTTTATACAGTTCAAATACTTATCACAGAAATAGAACATTTAACAATTTATCTAAATTATAAGTTTACAGTCTATACCTCACAGATCGCTCACAATTGTAGAATTTACATGGGTTTTTTGCTAGAAATTCGTCAACTGAGTAAAAACATTGCTGACATAACCATTTTCTTAGCATTACACTAAATTTATTTGAAGGTAGTCCGGAGATAGTTTTTGGTAAAGAGTTATATATTAAGGGACCCATGTAAATACAGCTTCGTCTAAATAACTCTAATCTAGGAACAGGTAACTGAAATTCTAGATGAGTAGCTTTTCTTTTATTTACATTATTGTTAGACACAAAAAATTGAGGATTATTTTTCACAAATTTAGAAATCTCGTAAATATAAATACAGGGAACCGTTAAGAGGCTATTTGATTGGAATGCGGGTCTACATGAATCACACCAGTCAACATTAAACATTGCACGAACACACTTCTTCTGGACAATGAATACTCGTGATATATCCGAAGAGTTTCCCCATACAATGATACCGTAGCGGATAACTGAGCAAACGTATGCATGGTATACCATTAAGGCAGTTTGCATGGATGTTATACATGTAATTTTTCTCAAAGCAAAGACAAATTTATTGATTTTTACACATACATTTGCAATATGAGTTTTCCAAGTAATATTTTCATCTACTGTTATACCCAGGAATTTAGAGCAATGTATTTGTTCTATAACATTATTATTATATGATACATCAATTTGTACGGGCTTACTTTTCCATGTTTTAAAATAGATTACATTAGTTTTAGGGATGTTTATTTTTAACTTATTAGTATCTAGCCATTTCATAATTTCACCTAATGCTTTGTTGACCTGAATACTCAAATTTTGGGGTTCATTACTCTTTATGATAATAGTAGTATCGTCAGCAAAGAGAACACACTGATGACTTATTGACTGTGGTAGGTCATTAATGTACACAAGAAATAGTAGCGGCCCCAGGATACTACCTTGAGGCACGCCACAGCCATTAGTAAGTGGAACAGAATCAAAATCTTCAATAGTATTTGTTACTTTACTAAGTTTAGCTACCCTTGTTATCTGTTGTCTGTTACTTAGATACGACTGAAACCATTTTTTTGCAGGGCCTCTAACACCATATTTTTCAAGTTTCTCTATAAGTCTGATATGATCAACGAGGTCAAATGCTTTACTTAAATCTAGGAATAAGGCACAGGATGGTTTTTTTGTATTAATATTTTCTATTATGTTTTTTACTAAGGTAAATATTGCCATGGTAGTCGATTTATTCTGTCTAAATCCATATTGTTGCGGAACTAAAATTTCAAATCTATCCAAGTATTTAAGCAATCTCTTGTACATTATCTTTTCGAATATTTTTGATAATATTGGAGTTAACGCTATTGGCCTATAATTGTTGACGTCTGATTTTGTACCTTTTTTGTGTAAAGGTTTAATCAACGATAATTTCAATCTATCAGGAAAACAACCCTGTTCAAAAGACAGATTAATAATGTGAGCCAAAGGCAGAGCAATATAACGAGCCACATATTTAATAACGTCTGTTGTGATGCCGTCGTAACCAGCTGATTTCGTATTTTTTAGCGAATGAATTACCCAATATAGTTCCGTTGCACTTGTAGGTTCCAAGAAAAAACTATTTTCCCGTGATTGTATGCTAAGCAAGTCAGTGTTATTATTATTAATTGAATTAAATGAATTATTATTGGCAATGTCAATGAAATATTTATTAAATTTATTAGATATGTCAGACCCAGAAAGAAGGGTTATAGAATTGTCAATAATACTATCGATAAATTCTCTGGGCAGCGTATTACCCATACTCTTTTTTACAACCTGCCACGTCGTTTTTACCTTATTCCGTGAAAGGGCTATAACTTTACGGTTGCATAGGGACTGTAGGTTATTTATACACTTTTGGTCTTGATATGTTCGAAGAAGTCCAGGGAAGGTGTAAAAAGTTAGAAAGCAACTATTTAGTTGGTACGCAGTTTGCAGGCGGAACCTAACGCCGGACACTTGTGTTATCTCGATAACTGATAACACGAGCGATTCAATTTTTATTATAAACAGTAATTTTGATGTACCATGTTTAGTGGAAGCTGTGAATGCTTACACCATAACCCAATAGCGGACCGTCACTAGCTATCAAGTTGATGTTTAATTTATATCTTGTTCGCCCGCGAGTCACATAAGGGGCCAGTAGAATACCAGCGCAAGGCCCTGTCTTGCGCATGCTGAACTGGTCCCATTTCGCCGCAGACTTGGGACATCAAGATATATAAGTTCTCATAGTCTAACACGTTAAGCCAAGGATACACTAAGGGACAAAATGTCCGGCGACGATTAGGTGAAATAGTGTAACGTTGCCGGACTTTGGTCGATATGCCTGGCAACATCAAGGTCGCAGTGGGCATAATAAGTCGCGCGTTGTCGCCATATCATCATCATCATCGTCAGAGCCATTTTTTTTAAAGGCGTAAAATCTTCGAGTGACTTCTCTCGCTTAGGTGAGGCGGGAGTGAGTGTCAGCAACTTACTGACTAAAAACCACCCCGTTCCTACACCTGCATTTCGAGCCGGAGCCCCGGTAACCCGTTAGGTTATCCGCGACTCAGAATCGACATCAGCCCTATTGGGCCCCATCCGTGGTGGTCTGATGGCGCTTTTGAGGCGCGCGCCGTATGTACGCGTCCTACACTCGGGTCTGATTCTGGTCGGGCGGCGAGCCATCCATGCTCGCCGTCCGCAGGCCTGCGCTTACGGTGGCCGGAGATCGTCCCGCATCGTCAGAGCCATAGGACACTGCTGAACACAGTTCTCCCCCAGTAACGGTAACACCGTATGTCGTGGTGACCCGGAGGTTTAAGACGCCCGTTTGTCATGCATGGATGCGGGTTCGAAACCTACAAACGGCTACCAATGTGACTTTTTCCGAGTAACATGTACTTTCTAAGATTATTTAGACACCACTGACAAACTGTGAAGTCAAACATCATGAGGAAACCTGGGCTTAGGTATAATGTCACTTGTATTTATCGTGTAACATAATTACATAATAAATGTAAATGTTCTCTCTTTCTTTCTATGTTCCTACTTGGAACAGGGCCTCCGCCTTAATAATAAACACAAGTCTTTAAAAAAATCCGACTTCAAATATACTTAATATATTAATTAAGTATTCTTAAGTGTCGCAAACACTATTCTGAAAACCGTATTAAAATCCTTTCAGCCAATTGCAAGATAGTTTACACTTCCCTCGGTGAATTACTTACTGCAGGAGACCGAACGAATGAAGCCTAAAGGCGCAAAAAAGAGACTAGAATAAGAACGAGAGTACAACTGGCGCCTAAACGCACGGAAACGCCAGTCATGAGATAATCGTGCTCATACATACACACATACAACACAGCTCCTTTTTTAGAAGTCGGTTAAAAACAAAAGAAATTGCTTACCCATATTTCACACTTAACTTGCCAATACAAAACAAATATTCTAAAAAAAAACTGTGACACTTTGATTTAATTATACAGTCTATAAAAATAAAGTTATATATCACTTATATAAATTATATAACAGTTGTATAAAAAGTTGTTACAACCTATATATATATATAATTTGACAAGGTGACTCTTGTACCGGTACCAGGTTGTAACTGAATTAGGTGTAGCAACTACGTTCTATATACATAAAGTTTAAGGTAGCAGTGTACGTACGTGTTCATGTACAAAAATAATAGTTCAATTACGTATGTATATACATTGTACATAGCTAAAACAAAATAGTTTACGAGAACTGAATATTTATAATGAATACGTAATTAATATATAACGTAACCGAAGAGTATAATCTACCCGTAAGCGTAGCGTTTGACTCTACTGAAACCAGGGTGCTTACTCTTGAAACCAATCTCAATGTCAATGCAATTTCAATACAATAAAATCTCAATAATTATTCAATGTCAACACTATACAACCCCTATCGTAGCTGTTAAAATAGCATTCAGAGTACGGAATATAAAGCCAAACTCAATACCATTTAATTCATTCAATATCCACGCAATACGGATGCAATGGGCGCTAGTGTTGCTACTCAAGAGTACGAAATTTCACAATACCAATGTCGATCGATCGGAATTGTATTCAAGAGTAAGCCCCTGGTTTGTTCTGGAGTCCACGCAACGGTGCCTAGTCGATTGGCGATAAGTTCAACTGCTGAGAGATCTGTACGACACTACAACTATGGTCGTCAGAACAGAACCAGCAGTCAGAACCTGTCCACCTGCATCGGGGGGTAAGACAAGGCGATGTTATTTCTCCCAAATTATTCACCAATGCTTTGGGGGATATGTTCAAGACGCTGCACTGGAAGGGACGGGGCATAAATATAAACAGCAAATATCTCTCGCGCTTGAGATTTGCAGATGACATCGTCATCGTGGCTGAAACCGTGCAAGACAATAAATGCTGAACAGCCTGGCTGATTCTTCTGCTCGCATTGGACTCAGGATGAACCTAGACAAAACGAAAATGATATTCAATGAGCACGTTCTTGCGGAGCCGATCACCCTTAATGGGTCTTCTCTCGGGATTGTTCATGAGTACCTAATCTAGGACAAACCCTATACTTTGGCAGAACCAACTTCGAGAGGGGAGGCTCGTAGAAGGATACAGCTTGGCTGGGCGGCATATAGGAAATTCTATCGGGTCTTTTCGTCAACTCTACCGCAAAGCATGAAGACAAGAGTCTTCAACGATTGCATTCTGCTCGCTCGCTCGCTAGCTCTGATTAAGGGGAAAAATCATCGAATGACTGCTCCCGCCTGGGTGAGGCGGGAGGGAGTGTCAGACTCTTACTGACTAAAAACCACCCCGTTCCTTCTCCTGCACGTCGAGCCGGAGCCCCGGTTACCCGTTAGGTCCTCAAGTATGTTTAAAATGTTATTTTTAGCCTGTATTAATTTGTAAGCGTAAATATATTGTCATGTAGTTGACAATAGGTACAAGTAATTAATTATTTAGAATACTTGATGTGACTATGTAATCGTATCAACATGCGCGTGCGCAATATATAGTGCCATTTCTGCGATTTTTTTTTAAATGACCTCGCGACCCTTCCTCTTTAACAATTGGGTCTTTTCCTGGTTCAAAAATGAATTAGGTATTTTGATTTTTCAATCCAATTAAATATTGAAAAATAATTACAATTTCATTTATATATAATATTTTATGGAATAGGAGGCAAACGAGCAGACGGATCACCTGATGGTAAGCGATCAGCGCCGCCCATGGACACCCGTAACACCAGAGGAGTCACATGTGCGTTGCTGGCCTTTTAAAAAGGAATACGCTCTTTTCTTGAAGGTTTGAAGGTCGTATCGGTTCGGAAATACCCTTAATAAATATAATGTTCGGCTTACTCACGTAATTATTTGACGAGGAACTTGATTAGTTACAAGCTATGCTAGAGGCTCACAAGTCACATTCATGAGCAGCATTCTGCCACACGCGACGCGGCGACTGTCGCGCTGGAAGCCGACACACATAATAATTCATTTAAAATGTCTCATGACAGTTATAACTAATACAAGGTGTTGTTTCAAAGCCGCGTCATTTTCTAGGAAGTAACTCGGCTATCGATTCTGAGTCCGAATCAATAAAAAAAATTGTAGATAAATGTTTTAAATTTGTAAGCGCGAACCGCATGCCGCTGTCTTGTAACTAGCTTTATAACGCGGTTTAACACACCCAAACTCAAACACGTAATTGATATTATTCCTAGTTCGATAAAACTCCAATAAGAGACATTGCTGCCGCTTAGTCTGAAATACTGTCGAACTTAAAACGATTTATTATAGCCGTATTTTTAACTATTGGCCCGAAACTTTCTCTTACATTGAACCTTTATGACTTCTGTGACATGTCCCCGAGAAATGCCACGGCTTTAAAACTACATCTTGTATAAATGACGGTTATTGCTCATTCCATTGGAAAATTCTTGGAAAATGTTTACAAACTAGAATTTGGAATATACAGACCTATATAGTAGACCCACAAACAAAATAGTTATTTCGAATTAAGGGAACATTTTGGAAAAAAAAATCATTAAAAATAACATATGTGACCAACTGTGTCATTCGAGACTAAGGGCTTTCAGGTAAAACGTAGCTAACATGACCTTCCAAAACCCTGAAAAAATTGTGTCAGTCCATGCGCCAAACAATCGCCAAACACCCTGTAAAGAGTCAGATGAGTTGAGAATGTAAAAGGTAACCGGGGCTCCAGCTCGAAGTACAGGAGTAGGAACGGGGTGGTTTTTAGTCAGTAAGAATCTGACTCTTGGGCTCGCTGCCATTGCAGCGGTAAGTCCCCTCTTTGAGGAGTGAATAGATACAGATGAGGAGTGAATAAATGTTAGGAAAATGTTCTAACATCTATTCATCTCATTTCGACATTCCTGTATTTGGTCACCCTTTGAATTTTCAATCAGACTGCCTTTTTAACCGAGTGGTAGTAAGTGCGACTACCGGGCAAGGGGTCTCGGGTTCGATTCCAGGGTCGGGTATTACTCAATTTTTAAATAAAAAAAATTCAATTGTAGCACGGAGTCTGGAATTGTGCCCAGTATATGGCAATAGGCTCACGCCCTATTACATAGGACTCATAACATAAATAGTGAACAGTGGATGTTACATTACAGTGGTATAATGTGTACCTCTGTCTACCCCTTCGGGGATAAAAGGCGTAATGTTATGTAATGTAATGTCATAACATTAATAGTGAAAAGTGGGTGTTACATTGTACAGTGGCATTAAGTGCCGTAATGTGCACTACAGTTTGTAATTAATTTATCGGTGCATTAATTAATATGCAATGACCTACTTTGCAAGGTTCTAAAACAATGCATTATGCAACATTTTGATAAACATGTATCAATAACATATTGTTAGAAGAGTTAGATATATAAATGTGATGGAAGCTAAAGAAGTATGTTAACTTAAAACGATTTATTATAGCCGTATTTTTAACTATTGGCCCGAAACTTTCTCTTACATTGAACCTTTATGACTTCTGTGACATGTCCCCGAGAAATGCCACGGCTTTAAAACTACATCTTGTATAAATGACGGTTATTGCTCATTCCATTGGAAAATTCTTGGAAAATGTTTACAAACTAGAATTTGGAATATACAGACCTATATAGTAGACCCACAAACAAAATAGTTATTTCGAATTAAGGGAACATTTTGGAAAAAAAAATCATTAAAAATAACATATGTGACCAACTGTGTCATTCGAGACTAAGGGCTTTCAGGTAAAACGTAGCTAACATGACCTTCCAAAACCCTGAAAAAATTGTGTCAGTCCATGCGCCAAACAATCGCCAAACACCCTGTAAAGAGTCAGATGAGTTGAGAATGTAAAAGGTAACCGGGGCTCCAGCTCGAAGTACAGGAGTAGGAACGGGGTGGTTTTTAGTCAGTAAGAATCTGACTCTTGGGCTCGCTGCCATTGCAGCGGTAAGTCCCCTCTTTGAGGAGTGAATAGATACAGATGAGGAGTGAATAAATGTTAGGAAAATGTTCTAACATCTATTCATCTCATTTCGACATTCCTGTATTTGGTCACCCTTTGAATTTTCAATCAGACTGCCTTTTTAACCGAGTGGTAGTAAGTGCGACTACCGGGCAAGGGGTCTCGGGTTCGATTCCAGGGTCGGGTATTACTCAATTTTTAAATAAAAAAAATTCAATTGTAGCACGGAGTCTGGAATTGTGCCCAGTATATGGCAATAGGCTCACGCCCTATTACATAGGACTCATAACATAAATAGTGAACAGTGGATGTTACATTACAGTGGTATAATGTGTACCTCTGTCTACCCCTTCGGGGATAAAAGGCGTAATGTTATGTAATGTAATGTCATAACATTAATAGTGAAAAGTGGGTGTTACATTGTACAGTGGCATTAAGTGCCGTAATGTGCACTACAGTTTGTAATTAATTTATCGGTGCATTAATTAATATGCAATGACCTACTTTGCAAGGTTCTAAAACAATGCATTATGCAACATTTTGATAAACATGTATCAATAACATATTGTTAGAAGAGTTAGATATATAAATGTGATGGAAGCTAAAGAAGTATGTAAGGAGCGTAATACATGACAAAACGGGGTTAAGCAAACCAGCCTAGTCTGAAAAAGGATAAGCATGACAAACATTCATTATGGTAGAAAGGAAGATTGATTGGTTGATCTGCTCGTTTGTTCGCTCCAAAAAAAAAGGTGTACTATATTTTATATGGGCCACGGAGTTGCCTGAAATAAAAGAACAATAAACAATATACAAATTGTACCCTATCATGTTAAATGCAAGGTCCATTTGTCCTTGAACTCGCTACTTACTACGCATAAATACAATAATTACCTTAATGCACAGTCATGCTTAATAGTTTTTAGAACTACAAGGTTGTATGTTGTTAATATATGTTAATATGTTGATTAAAAAAAATATATATTTCAAAAATAGCTACAACCGCTATAAAAC